TATACCTGCGTCATATGGTCATATTATCATGTATGGCTGAGATACTGGTGTTGTCATTGCTGTGTGCCGATGACGTACCACTGACACAGGATCGCTTGTCCTATCGGTTACACTTGCTTAAAACTAGCCATTCCAAGTTGTGTGATCTATGAGTGGGCCTGATCACAACACTTTATTCCCTTTTCTCCGAGGAGACCTAGGGCCTGGTGCGAGTCCGCTTTCCACACCTGAACATTTGTGTTTTTTGCATACCAAATGACCTAAATCAAGATCAAACTTTAAGATATCCATCGCAAATCCTCACCACTTGTCCCAAATAAACAGAAGGCCCAACCCGGATTAAATGTGTATCTGTCTAATGTAGACAATTTTCCGATTATTACTTTGGTCATTTTTCACACCAATTCTCTGCCCCATGCCAGAGCAATGGTATCCAGGAAGAAAATGGAGGATAAGGTCAAACTGTAGACTATACAAGTCTCGACTTAAGATTTTCAAGAAGTAAGCAGGGAGCAGGTGTCCATCGGCAATTGAATAAGCAAGTAGAGTATCTTTACGATTAGTGATAGAGTAGAATTGGAAGTTTTAAATTGAGCTATATGTCAATAACTCTAAATCTAGATTATTCATTAAAAAATTAGGGAATTGTGGCAACGTTGGTCAAAAGCTAAGCACTTGGAAGCTACGGAGACTATTCTAATAACAGTTTCGAAGATTGCGTTGGTTCCATTCAGGTTGGATGTTGCGACCTCAGGCCATTAGGCTCGGCAGACAAGACTAGCTGACTAACCTGGAGAGGCCTGTGCGTCTCAGCTGAGACAGAGGTTCGAAACACCCTAAATAGAAGTAATAATATATATACAATCCTGACAAGAGCTCAAAGCAGTCTAGCGATTCAAGTACGAAGTGAGCACATGGGGCTTAACTCGTATTTATACAGAAGAAAAGTACCCGGAGTCTACAGTCCAAGCTGTCCATGCATCTACCAATCACAGAGCCTCAAGCATATGATTATGTCCTGCCCCCGATGGTCAAACGGTAGAGCTAAGATCTGTAGACAAGCGAAAGATCAGTCCTACGAAGCCGTGCTAAGCAATCCTGGAGACATCAAAAGGATAACACAGTGGATCCTAAATCATGGTTGAATAGAGCAATTCCAGATGACAAAGTGTTATGAATCTACTTATGGGCAGATTTTCGAAGCCGTTAAGCTGCAGAGGTCGAGTCGATTTCGACGAAGACAAATTATCGAAGGTGCAAATGTCGAAGGTGCGAATGAAAGTAATCGAGGCTCGAATTATCAAAGGTTATGAACTCATATGTCCAGATTATCATGTTATCAAAATATCGAGTTCCCAATAAGCAAATTATACAATAATCATAAAAGTTGTTAGAACTAAAGAACCAATTCAAATTTCCAGCTTGAACAAATCCAAAACCTGTTGCCTCAGACCTAACCGAATTAAGAAGATAATCCCTGCATCACCATATTCAGATTAAATCTAACAAATTCATAACACAAAGACGGTCAAAATGCTGCTGAGGGAAAGGAACAGGTCATGCCTTTCTTGAGGTAGATAAAGCTCATGTGATTGGGTTATATGGAGGGCACTATAGTGTAACTGCGCTTTCTTAAGGATACATTATAAAAAACATAGAAATTAAACAGGAAATTTTGGGGGGTTTTCACCAAAAGGTTTCCTCCCATGTAAATTAGAAAGTATGATAAACACCTGCATGGGTCCATAGGGCGCCAAATCAAGATAATGAATTTAAATTCAAAAATTCAAAAGATATATACAATTAAGTACACTCTATTTCCATTCCCAAGCACTAGTGCTTAAGTCCTGTCAACAGATTGATCCTTTCTGAGAAAAGTATTGGGATATGATTCCTTTAAACGGGTGATACAATAGTTCTGGAAGTATAATTTATAAATTATAATTCTGGCACAACGTGTATATTTCACGGCACGCACAGCACCATTTATTGCCGCGACCATGCTCATACTGATATGTGTCCACTTGCCTCGCCTAAACGTTATTTTGAAATTACTAATGTAGGGTGCATAGAATCTCCAAACGCCTTACGCTTTTTACTCTCAAGTAGACAATAATCACAACCATAACTCCATTATGTTAAGGTACATAGATAATTATGTTTGACCGACACTCTTGTAATTTAATAGAAAGCGCATATATCTGTAACACAAAAACGAGGGGCGCTCCCGCTAGTTTTTGAAAAAGTTGAAAAATTGTAGGAGGACTGTCTCCACAAATCGTTAGAATTTTCTCCAGGGGGCATGGATATTTAGGTATTAGATTTTTCCTCGTTCTAGCTGCTAGTGTCGAAAGGGATTGTCAAGCTGATTCAAGCATACGCTTCTATTTTGTGTCGAAAATAAAGCAGGCGGTTCATTTTGTGCAGATTACAGTCAATTTAACTTGAGAAATTCGCTGCAGCTGGCTCATCTTCGGCGAGATTACTTCGAGCCAATCAAACATGAAATCTCGACCTGACCAAAAATTTTTATGAAGAGAAATGTACTTGGTAGTTATCATTGCATAAATAATGTACAAGTAGATACCAGGCGAAAATTGGCAGATTCGTTGGCAGGACAATTTCTCTTGCCAGAGCTCAAGGTGTAACCATTAGAGCTGATATCGCCAATTGGTATTGCTGTCTTGGTTGGAGCTTGTATGGGCCCTGTATCTCCATCTTACGCCTCTCCGCACCTCATATCAGTGACTGGTATTATGCACATGATGGGCTATTTCCCGCGGAACTCATATTCTCGTTTTGGTGCTGGACCGTCGGTAAATTTATTTATTCCTGCGAACCGAGAAATATCGTTTTCGAAGAGTCCAACACCGTGAGCTCATTCGAAGCTTTGTCAGATTCAAGATGAAAATTATCTTCAGCGAAGCTTCCCTCGATCTTTCTGTTTTGACCAAAATTCAACCTGTATGAGGCAATGAAAAGTCATTGCAATCATGTGCTTGTTCCATTGCAACCCGGATTTGTAAGAGAGCCCACCAGCAGAATATGTACCTTTCAAACAAACCAAGTAGTCTTAGAGTTTTGCCCTAGAGTGTAGAGTATGGTAAAGAAAGAGATGCGAGCGAGTTCAAGCATTTCTTGAAGATTATATCACAGGTTAATGCCTGTGGTACCAGGTGAGGATGGACTGACTGTAGTCTGCTGTATTCCATGAATTGTTCATGAGCTGGTCTCATCAAATATTTTATTAAATGAGGTGGATATATTGACAGTTCCAGCGTAGCCCTATACAGATTAACATAAGTGGTTCGGTACATGGGACCACGCTCCAGAGATGTCGTCCCGAGTAATAAAAAACTATAGGCAGATACTAAAACAAGCTTGATGATTTCACTTAGTGCCAAGAGTACAAATCAGAGCACCGTAGGGCGAAAAGGCTACAGAAGAGATGGGCATGTAAGTACTCATTGCACGGGGTCTCTAGCTTGAAATGACTTACCTGTGAAATTAGAAGATTCTAGGTGGTGCACATTACAATTTTTTCAGGCAGTATTAAATTGAGCCAGCAATTCGAGCTCAGTCTTGATATTGCGGGCTTGAAGGTTGACAAATAAAATCACACTTGTTGAGAAAATAAACTAGTAACTGTATACTATCCAAAATTCGATGCGTTGGGACCGAAAGTTTTGTTTCTCTCTCTCTGACTAGGCTAACTACCGAGCGAAATCAAGGAGTGCACTACTTTCATGATCACATCATCATAGACCTGCAAACCTTCACACGAGAGGTTTTTCTCCGGGAGGCCATGTGGAAATCCATGCTAAAAAGTTGCTCACAGATAAGAATAGTGGCTTGTAGATGACATCCGAGTTGAAGTTGCGAGATGTTAACGTCAAGGTGGGAAAAAGTTGACAGATCATGAAAGTGCTGTTGGTTCAATCGTGAACTCCACATGGCGAGTTCTATATATAAGAGCCCTGCTTTCATAATGGATTCCATTTCCCCTACGTCGATCCCAAAAGAGGAACCAGGTGTGGTAAATGACTGCTTGCTTCGGAGCTTGGAAGGCTTTTCCTGCTGTGAGGCAAAGATGCCGGCCAAGAGATTTTGCACTCGTCTAGTTATGATGGGTTTTTGTTGACGTATAGACAGGTCAAGTTTACTGGTAGGTATCATATCCTTGGGCAGTACCAGCCATAACTAAGTTAAGCCGCACGAATCAATAGGCCGCGCGACATTTTGCAATGAAATAGTCGTTGAATATCGATCGTGATGGAGATTTCTGATTCGGCTAGTTTGAAACGAAGTCCGTTTTCAATGCACATTGAGTAATAATGTTTAGTACCGGGCCCTGTCGCGTGGCCCGTACTACGTCGATGAATGTGTGTCGTTTTGGCCAGTACCACATTTTACCCTGACCCGGACCCAGCCAATACGTCGTGTAAAGCAATGGCCAAGGGTTTGAGAGACTGCACTGTGTCAAAGTCAATCAGTAAACTTGCGCGGGAATGTACCCAGCCTTGACTAAGTTGGTCACCGTACACGATTGGAATGCTAGAGTAGTGGAGTCGTCGGGTCCACATATATTTGGGGCTAAGACCCTTGCAGGCTGGATGACGTAGAGCTCGTCCAGCCAGTCGGCCCCCTCCAATCACACCAACCCATCGCCTGTCAACAAAACGGAGGGTGAGTCGCCCCGGCACAAACCTACACTTCCATTGGCTGAGTCCCGCTGTAAATGCACGATGAGGCCGGATATCATGATGATCCATAGAACTGTCGATCGACGCGACGACTTCCTTTCATCAAAGTAGCCGAGCTGACACTTCGCGTAGTACGTCTGGCCAGTGTGGCTACTATACTTGGCTATAAAGACAACAGCGAAAGCCGCAAGTCCTAGACAATGCTAAAGACATAATTTCATTCACACATTCCCTCACGCATCTCTGTGATATTCCTCGCATCCCGTCCTAAATCTCGACTATCCCTTCGATCCTTAGATGGATCCCGCCACCTCGGCCCCCGATGAAGTGGATGCCAATTACATACATGTCACAGACCTAACCTTCACGTTTCCAAATCACATTACTGGACTACAGAACGTGTCGCTTGCGCTGCCTCCTCAATCACGCACTCTACTCGTCGGCGCCAACGGAGCGGGCAAAACTACACTACTTCGTCTCTTGTCTGGCAAACGTTTAGCGCCTTCAAATACTATTTCCATAAATGGCCTCGATCCATTTAAGGAGAGTCTAGATGGCGTAGCCTATCTTGGCCTGGAGTGGCTATCAAGCCCCTTTGTTGCGACGGATATTGGTGTGCAAGAATTACTGCGCTCTGTCGGTGGCGACCACTTCCCCGAGAGAAGGGATCAATTGATCAGTCTCCTAGATATCGACTTGGACTGGCGTATGCACGCCGTTTCAGATGGTGAGAGGAGAAGGGTACAGTTAGCCATGGGGCTGGTTCGTCCGTGGAAGATTCTCCTATTAGACGAAATCACGGTGGATCTGGATCTTCTTAGCAGGAGTAACTTCCTTAATTACCTGAAGCAAGAAACCCAGAGTAGGGAGTGTACTATTGTATACGCGACTCACGTTCTCGACAACATGGCTGATTGGCCAACCCACTTAGTACACATCAGTTTAGGTAAGATTAAAGAATGGGGACCTATCGACTCTTTTGATATCAAAGGTGTCAGAGAAACTGGCAACAGTAAGCTTGGTGAAGTGGTGTTGGCGTGGCTCAGGGAAGACTTAAAAGAGCGGGGTCCGCGGAAAAATGGAATTAGCAGTGAATGGACTTCATACAAGAATCCTGGAATAGGGGGTTACGGCGCTGAAAAGTTTGATCCGAACTTTTAAATTCGCGGGTTTACGATAAGACAACTAATACTTACCTCAGTAATGCACTCTAAGAAAATGTGCAAACATTGTCTCCTATTCCACACGCATACCGACTCAGCTTGTGACCAAATCTACTTTAAAATCTGCCTATACTCCAACTAATTAGGAAACTTACGAGTTGGATCACACCTGATCTATTCCATAGAATAAATTCTAAGTGAACCATCTTCACTTGCCATTGCCAAGCTCATACCTGTCTTTGGTTTCATTCTGATTGTAGGTCTCCAGGCAAGCTGTGTAATCGCCCCGGACGGGTTTAGACACGGGCTGGTAATTATTACAGTCAGTTTCATATGATCAGGTTAAACTATAGGGTTCGTGCCACGCTTTTAATCAGAACTTACCTATTAAAGCTGAAAGGTAGCTCTGTAGTGCTGGCGCTAGAAATATTGATTTCAAAGATGGCAAGTTGACCAAGCTCATCACCAATCGCGAGTCGTAGACAATTCGCAGGCGTAGTAAAATCAAGAAAGTGAATGGCGGTTGTGGGGTGAGCTCTTCGTATAGTCACGGCGCAACTGACTGGCGAGGCAGTATCTGAGCTTTGACATATCCAGATCTTTACTTGGCGGTCACGGCCGGCTGTAGCAAAAATATGCGATGGGCCCGGGGCCCAGGCAGCGTCGAGAATCATGCGGGAATGACTTTTTGCATCGGTGGCTTGAAGCTGGTATTGATGTGGGTTCGCATCGGCCCGCTGAAAGAGCGACCACAACCGATCACGGCCGACGCTCAGGAGAAACTTGTCGTCGGGCGAGAAGCGAAGACTCGTCACTGTCAAGGAGTGAGCAGTGAGTGGAGGCTTGATTTCATGCCAAGTTTTAGTTTCATAGAGACGTATGACGGCATGGTCGATAGAGCTAGCTTTGCATGCCGTTGCAACGATAGTGCCATCGTGACTCGTAGCCAGGGCGGAAATCTCATATCCATGACCATAAAGCTTCTCGATCTCGGGCCACAGTGTGTCTCTGGAGAGCTGATCTTCGTGAGGTAAGTACTTGATTTCAAGCTTTGACGTCTCGATAACTGGAGCTACTTTTGTGTCTTGACGGCTATCGTCATCTCCCATCACCTTTTCGCCGCTCTCCACAGTAGGGATAGTGCGGTTTGAAAGCCCTAGCACTGGCATATTGGCTGCTATCGGCATATCATCTTCATCTGCGAAGTTGCCACCAGCTAATTCATTTAAGAGTCTCGCCGTGGTCCTGGGTATCTTGAAGACACGGAGTAACTTTTCCTCCGCGCCAGAGACAAACTGAGTTGAGCCAAGAGTGTCGACACAACTAAGGTTATAGCCATGAATCTGTGGTCGAGCCATCTCGTGCCACGTCTTCCGACCTTCTCGTTTCCACTCTGCATGGAGTCTCGTAGTTTGATCGGCGCTTGTCGATAGAAGATATTCACCTCCTTTTGACCATGCGATGCTATTGACAGGATCGGTATGACCGCTAACTCCACTCCCCTGGATCCATCGTTCCCTGTCCACGTTCCAGGTCCATAGCTTCCAGCTACCCGTACGGCCAAGACATACAACTGCGTTGCCGGATGCTGCCCACAATCCCATCCAAAAACCACCAGTGCTTCCGGTAGCTGTTGTTGAACCCTTTTCTGAGCTTATTTCCCCCATCCTGGCTATAATTGTGTAGACGCCCGTTGATTCGTCTGGTTCCCAGATTGCCAGCGAATTATCAGCAGAAGCTGAGAGTAACTGTAATCTCGAGCCCGCATGCTTCCACTTGCAACTATATATCCAATCTTCATGCCCAAATAAAAGGGCTTCGAAGCTGGTTGAGTAGTCAAGACTTTCGGCTTGAAAGTGTTGTGACTTATTGGCGAGGGTTTTGCCGGGCAAGAGTGAGTTCAGCTGCGAGAAACTCGAGTCTGCTGCTAGAGAGGGCGCCTTATAGCCTTGACTGATCCGCCAGAGACGAATATACTTGTCCTGGCTTGCCGATGCGAGTAATATATCGCCTTGGCTTGTAGAATCTTGGATGAAGTCTAGTGAGCGAACCCAGCCCTCGTGGCCCGAGAGGGTTACCTGAAGCTGAAATCTTGAGTCCTGCTCGGAATCCTGAACATAGAGCTGGATCGTCTCTCGAGTTCCCGCCACTGCAAGTAGGTATGAGTTGGCTGATGCTATCAGGGGAGTCAAGGCCAGGGCTAGAGGAAATAATTTGGGTTGTAAGGTTATGGTCTGCTGGAGTGTTACGATTTCGACTGCTTTATCATGCGACCAGATCCTCACGGTCGAATCTGCTGCTCCTGATGCAAAGATGGACGCGCCGTTTTTCGATACGGCGAGACAATTAATGGAGCCGGTATGATCGGAGAGTGAGTGAATGCATTTATATTTCTCCGGTTCGTCACATTTCTTCCAGACCTTTAAGGTCTGATCAACAGAGCCGCTGAGTATGGTCGATGAAGATTCCGGTAAGAATTTCAACGCATTTACCTTATCTGTATGTCCAGTGAGCAGGGCACTAATCCCTCTGGATTGCTTGTCCTGTGGAAGCTGGCGTCAATCATGAAGCCCCGAGTGTGCAGTGGGTGAGGGAAGTTTTGGAGTGATGAAAAGAAAGGCGGAATCATACCATTGGCTCCCATAATGCGATATTTCGGTCGGCACCGAAGGCCAGCAATCCCGATGCATCCCAATCGGCGGCGGAAGAGTGACGATTGGCACCGGCACTCAGGTAATCGGCCGAGACCTGAAGCATTCTGTCCGAGTCCTTGACTGTGGAACCAGGGCTGGAGGGCGGTTTGCAAGAAATCACTTGGTCACGAGGGCCAGGATGGTGAGGACTTGTGCACGAGCGGAAGCGGGGACTTGGGAATCGGTAAATTATGGTTCGGCTAAAGTAGTTGGCGATGTGATGCCCGACTGAGTTGGCCCTCTGTGCATTGTCGAGGCCCAGGAAGCTCAGGGGCTCAACCAGCACGGGCACACTCCCTGCTTCCCGACTACCAACGCCTTACACAACTCGGGATGGATGGCTGGCGCGGAAGCCTCCAGTCATGAACAACAGAGGTCGTGCAAGGCTGTCGCGATGGGGGCGCTACGCATGAGCCAAGCGTTGCCCAGAGGGCCAAGTAAGCATACGACTACATGACTGCAGACTGACCAGACAAATATTCGTTGCCAATATGACAAGCTGCGACCAATCTCTGAAAGTAGGCGTCGCTTTGCATTGCATTCAATTATCATGCTCCATGGCGAAGCTAAAGAACTGCGCAATAATTCGGCCAAGACGCAGGCGCATCGACGGGCCACCCAGCCGGCCCAATTGGCTCACGATTGGACACAGGCATTGGGAGGATCACAGCCCGCCAAGGCGCAGCACCAATCATATCTGCAGGCTCACTCAGCCCAATCACATCTCTCGCGCCAAGCTTAACCTAGGCCGAAACGCCTAACTGGGCAGTCATTGTTCCAACTCCCGGGCTTTCCAACTGACCTCCATCACCGCCATCACCTTCCTGCCTTTACCAGCGTCGCGGCACAATGGACGACCACTCATGTTCACTAACTCTACCAATAACGGTTGAATTCATGTAAGGGATCCCGAAGCACAAGGCCGTGACCAGTAGCAGATGCTACCCCCCATCTCCAATGACTTTGGCTGACCTCTACTGAACCAAGGGGCGGTCTGGAGATGCTCTTCAACAACCAGCGCACATTAAGCATCAGCGTACCGGCGAAAATGCCGCTGGCGGCAGGCGGCCAGGCTCCCACGACGCTCGGTTGGCTTATAGTGCATCTCTGTGCCGAGCACATGACGGACGCGCGAAAGGACATGTTCGTCCTTGACGGTCACGTGTAAGCCTTCTTGTATTCGCGAAGGTCGCGCTCAACTGGCTGACGCGTGTGCACGACAATCAGCCGCCCAGGCATCCTCGTCCTAATCAATGATGCCGACTGGGAGCTGGAGGGCGAAGGTACATACACACTGCAAGCTAATGACAACATACTTTTTGTCTCAACTCTTCACGGTGGTTGATACCTCTCCTGCGCTATCGAGATCCTTAATACAGCATTACTAGTCCGAGGATGGCTGAGAGGGCTAGGTGGTCAGTAGCAAAGGGGAAGATGTCTGACGGTAAAAGTGCTCGGAACTCGCGGCTCTTTGGTTGTATCCTATCCATCCATTCACCTGAAATTTTTTAGCCGTACCTCTGGTTAATTCTACCTATCCCGCACGTCAACAGATCCCACAACGCATTGACCATCTCGATCCCAACCATTCCACCCATGTCGTAAACTGTAGGTACTAGTTAGAGACTTCATTTATACCTACAGTTACAAATCGAACTAGCTTGTACAAGCACTTAGGTACATCACATGTACTGCATAGTTTACTTGTGAAATTTTGAGCCTAAACAACTTGATTGAACCCTCAAAATCGAGTCGCGTTAGGCCTCATCGTATAGCGCAGCGCAGGTCGTTACAAGTGCAGAGGATATTGACTAGGACCCCAGTCTACATGCTTGCATGCTAGCCATGGGAGGTTTACTCTCGGTGGCTATCCTTACTTGCGCGTCTCTATTTTCAATTCACCCTGGTTTAATTGGACCGCTTTAGCATTACGATTCACTCTATAGTTAAAATTCACAAACGGGAATGTTAGTTCGGCTTGAATTTATTTTGATCTCTTGGTTCTGTTTCCCCTTACACGACTGTCAAAAATTTCGGGTTCTAATGTACAACCAAAACTTCCGTACTGGTATTTTTTCATGATATTTCCCAATACTTTTAGGAAAAAAAAAGTAATTTCCTCAACACTTTTGTGTTCCATTTTTTGCTTTCGCCGCGTAGTGCAAACACTAAATCTCAGTGTGCGTGGACATGTTAATTGCTCTCCGCTGACACTCAATGAGGAATAAAAGCTACCTTACAGTATCCTCATTACCCTTTTCACTATTTTAACATCTAGTCTTGACCTAGACGATGTCTTTGGGATTTAAAGTCATTTTTAATGATGTGTCTCGTTTACCACCCGTTTAACCTGAATGTTATTAAAATTCATGAAGATATAATCAGTTAGATTGAGCTTAAATAAGATAAGACAGAGATTTTTGGTTCGAAGTTTATGTCCTTTATGTCGCAGGACACCTTCGCCTGGAATGTGATTCCGGAGGAACTGCTGTTTTGTGTATGGTAGAGCAGGTTGCCTCGACAAGTCTTGATAGAGAATTTCCGCGCTTTAGTTCATTTTCGAGCCATACCGGGTTGATTTCTTTTAGTCGGGGGTTTCTTTGGGTAATTAGACCACTTATTTGGGTGCTAATGCGCCAGGTTCTGTTTGTGAGTATTAAAAGAATTCTGGGCTAATCTCAGAGGAAGCCTGTCAGAATACCTAGACAACTCAGGATAAGGTGTTGAATGAATGTTTTCTATACAACTAATAGATGCGTTCGCCATAAGGCATCTCGCCCGGGCGTCCTGGTTCATCATAGCCGTCAGAATGGGCGTCTTCAAAGCTTGTAATCGTCGAGTTTGAGGCTCCTCCGGCACTTCTATTATCATCTTCGACTTCATATAGCTCATAATTGTTGGAAGTATTTCTTGGGATATGGTGAGTGGATAAATTCACGTTTAAATTTACAACCATGTTACCTCTTCCGGGTCCATTCATTCCGTATCCTGATGAGGTGATGGTGTTATTTCGTATCGATGACGTAGTCGGATTAGACCCTACTTTTCTGTCTTTTCCCCTTCCTTTTATTCCTTTATTGCTATTCTTGTATAGGTTGGCGAAATAGACCCATAGCTCTCGGTCTGCAGCGTGAACGGTATCACCCTCTTGAATCGATGCAAACTTTGCGGTTAATGCGCGAATAGTAGCGATGTGGAATTTGTTTTGGTGTGACTGATTTTTCCGTTAACAATGGACCCTAAATTGGTAGTTCAAAAATGATTGGGATGTAGATAAAATTTCAAGGATCATGCGAGATGAACATAGAAACGAAAGCCGTGAACGAGAGGAACTTTCAGTGAAGTTGCCTACCTTGAGATTCCCCAATTGGGTGAACTGCTTTCCACAATCGTCAAGCTTACAAATGTACGGTTTAGATTGATCATGCACGATCTTGTGAGCTCTAACGTTTCCTCGCTGCGCAAACCTCTTGCCACAAGTGTCACATTGGTAAGGTCTTTCTCCTGTGTGCCTTCTTTCGTGTGTCTACGCGCTTTAGTATTAGAGCTTTGTTTCACGAAAGTTTCCTACCTTCAGATTCCCTAGCTGAGAAAAGGTCCGGTCACAGCCTGGCTGCTTGCATAACTAAGCCGAAGTTAGATGAGCTACAAGGGTTAGAAGTGAATACTTACGTAGGGCTTGACCCCTGTATGAGCTCTTTCGTGGATGTCGAGATGAGTTTTTTGATAGAAACTCTTAGTGCAACCTTCAATTGTACATTGATATCGCTTTTTGCTGGTCTTCGTGTTGTTCATGTCTGTCTGCATGCATGTTGGCGTGAGCTTTGAGTAAATCGGATTTCCAGGGTGGCAGGTTTCGACAAGTTGGCTTGAAATCGGGGAAGCACCTACCACAGATGTTGTTTGCTGGGCAACAGACGGCTGTGGCTGAGTAGTGGATTTAGCTTGTATAGCTTTCATTAGAGTATCGACCTCTGTCCCGAAATTGACATCACTTGTAGAAGTACCCGGCGCGGTAATTATTTTATTACAAGGTGAAAGGTAGTTAGATGGGCCGGGTGGAGAGTTCCAAGATGGTTCACTCTTGATAGTCGAGCCTTGTGAGCTTGGTTCCTCGATAATAAATCCTTGTCTTTGAGGGCGGCAGAATGGGATTGTTCTAACGAGACTGTTGTCCATCTGCATAGGGTATGGCATTCCAGGGCGAGATTGAACATAGGCATTTGCGAAAGGAGTTACCATGTTGTTTGAGTTCCCAGCTGTGTAGTGAGCATATGTGAATGGGTTCTGGTGATTCATGCTAGGTTGATGAGTGTGGTGTGCGACGAGTGTGGTGATGGGAACGTTCGAATATGTTTGGACCGGCATGTAGTGAGGCGCCATGGTCGCTCTGCCCGAAGATCTAGAGTCATAGGTCTGAATTATTCCGGATATGTCGACAGTATAATATGAGTCTATAGTTTGGTGAGGATGATCAGACCATCGGCCCCAGGCCTGACTCGGAGCTTGAGCTGTGACTGCCAGTTTTGCGGTTGTGTCCTGCTCCACGGCAAGACTATTGACAACAAAGAGTGTGAATGGAGTAGAGGTTTGTCCCGAGGATGGGGCACTGGGAGGGGCAGCGGATTAGGGGGACCAGCTGAGGATGGGGTCCGGGAAGTGATGGCTAGACCGAGTGGGTATTCTATATGCCGATGACGAGCTAGAGTCGACGGATAAAGATTTGGAGGAGGTTATCGGGTGAAGATACTGAGACTGGTATGGAGATGTGGTGAAAAAAAGAAACCGGCGGGAAGGATGGTAATATATTGACGTTGGATCCAAGGGCATAGGTGCCTCGTGTATATTCATATACAGATCATCATGGTTAGCCCCCAGTCCCCCCGCCGTATGGACTAGCTTGAATGAGCTTCATCCTCACCGCGACCGCTCCGTCCAGAGGGGGAGGGACAAGCTGGGCCAGGCAGGCAGGCAGGCGAGGGGGCCCCAATAGGAAGGTACGGAAAAGTAGACAAGGCAATGAGACGTGCAAGGCTGCTGGAAGCGACGTACAGGTGGTACGCAGATACTTGATAGTCATACGGATAATGGATAGGCAAAGGCGAGTTTGGCCATGGGAAGGACGTCGAGGTACCAGAGTGCGTAAGGACGAGTTTGTGCGTGAGTGGAGTCGTGATTGGAGGGGCCGGGGAGGGACTGGGGAGTCGGGGTTGAGAGAGGCCGGGGTTGGGACTAGCTGGGAGACTAAGCTGGCTGGGGCGTAGTAGAGCCGACGGGGGTGGAAAAGAGAATAACTGTAGTGGATGAAGCCTGGGGAGGGACGAGAGGGGGCACTGTCTGGGCCGTCTGGAGGGGAGGGAAGAGTCGACTGTGCCCTCCTCCCCCTCTAACCCGTTTGAGCAGTGGTCCAGCTGCTCATGCAGAGTCAGTAAGATTTGGAAAATTGTCCTGGACTTTTACTGGCCCTAGGCCCTGGTTGAAAAAGATCACAATTATCTGGTAGGTAACGGAATAAGGTTTAATGGGACGAGTGCGAGAGAGAATCTGTCTGACGTGGGGACTGTAGGTGAGGCTCTAGAGATAATGAGAACATGTCACAAAGCATGTGAGCAGTGGGACCTCGACTATGAGTCGGAATTCATCATTCACTATCTCCTCCCCTGTCATGAAGCTCCCATCACGCACTTTTCTGCTGCTGCTCATACAACTTGGGTGTTCCAGCATCCAGTCTCCATCAGCCTTCCGACGGCGTCATTTCATGTGGGGGTTTCCCGACGATTCCGCTCTTCTGGTTCAGTACCGTGGCTGCCTGGGCCAGACCAACTGCTGAATATACTGGAGTATACGGATGCAGGGCTTGCCTCAGCCCCTATGCTTTAAGCCCCTACCCGTACCAGAACTGCCTCGTGCTCTACCGAGGGACAGATGGCAGAACTGAGGATTCGTACGCGCGAGAGGGCGCGTGAGGAAGTAGTTGTAGGTGAGGGGGGCTGGCTAGGCGGACCGGAGTGATGCGCCCCAAGGTAGCTGCTGGCACGGGTCGTGGGTGCACCAATACTCCATCTTTGGAACCGTCAGGTCTAGCCCATTCAGGCACCTATCATAAATAGTAACAGCAGCAACACCGCGCATCGTTCCTCAAGGTGTACTGTAACCATCCTTTAGGCCCGCGTCATTGGGCCTGTCACTACTTGATCCGCCTCAGCAGGCCAAACTGTCGAGAGTTCACCGTTATATTTTAGAGAAAGAGTTGGCCGTGAGACATACTTTTTCGTAGTAATTCTAGAACTATCTGCAGTATGATTTCCACGGATCCAGGTAGAATTAGACATGACATGTAATCCGAGCTGGCAAATGCTCACTGATGAGCGTGGGGACCGTCCGGACTGCGGTCACCCTGCCCCCGTCGGAAAAAAGATGATGCGATCAAAAGTGGTGAACTTTCCATGCCGAAGGCCTGTGGAACCATCTCATCATCTGCGGCTAACAACACTTGCCGTGTCGAGCAGCGAGATGCTTTCTCGCCCAGGGAATTGGCGTGCACGTAAGATCAGCTAAGTTGTCTAGGGCCTTGATTGCTAATTTTTTTGCTCTTCATTCTCCTTCATACTCCAGGATGTTACCCGCGCAAGACGATACCCTGACTTGGCTATATCAACAGTATCGATCCCAAAGCATCAACTCCCATTGCTCCCAACGCGATCCAATATTGAGAGTTGACTGTTAGGTGTTAGAACTCACCAGACACCTTGCTAATCTACTAGCAGCTCAAAAGCGAGTGTTCAAAAATGCCGCGTCCTACTGATTCCTTGTATTAGATGGACAGACGGTGTCGCACCAATGGACGAGAAACCGCTGCTGAATGTGACCCCACCTTTTATGTTATCCTCCAAACGAACTAATCCTCTTCGGTGTCCGACGCGCGAGCTTACAAGTTTGTAGTGCTTTTGCCTCTTTCCTTCGCCCAAATCTTGAAGCTTAACCTGAGTTTGCCATTGCTGGGTCATGCGTCGTGGAGAGAGGACTATATTCTATCCACCAAGCTGTGCTAGACACGCCAACAAGATTTAACCTGATCTTAGTTTAATCTAATCCCCAGCAACTAGTGATGACCGCACCGCTGGTGTAGTGCCTAGATTTAGTGTAGCCCAGCGAGAAACCTTTGAAGTCCAAGCTTTAGGGGTTCCCACGGGATCTAACAATGAGAGGATTGTCAGTGAAGTAACAGACGCAATCCCTTAATTGCCGAGATCACGACGTGACTGACGATGACATCTATCTTGCATGGTGTCGGAAGCGAGAAGCGCATAACACAACCTTTTCGGAAGGCTTGACTGACAAATCCGTGCCTCGGACTAGGAGTTTAGGAGAAATCAAGTGACAAGGCTCGTTACCATTCTACCGGGCAGAGTTCGGTCGCCGGCAACCCCATCTTCATCCAGCCAAATCCCTTGTCACCCCTGAAATTTAGTTTGTATGTTGACTTCTCAAAATTGAAGGAGCAGTTTGATCTTCAATGACAAACGGATGATAACGACTTAATGAGGAGTTCTCGCCGCTTTCTGCACCGTCAAACTTTAGTTGTTTTACATTGTTGATGCCATGTTAACGTAGCCTAGAAATGAGCTCTCATGATGGACATCATAGCTTCAACAGTGGCTGTGGTTATCACCATTCCCTGATAAAGCCTTTCGCCAAGCAGCTAGAAAACTGGAATCTAGATGTTTCACAGCACATTCCGGACTTCAGCGATATGGGAACGCTGAGACGATTCATGTATGCCAAGCAGCTATTTTCTGGACATAGTCCTGCCGTAACCGCTCTCCTCTCCCACACAAAGCTGCAAGAATTATGTGAGGTAACATAGCATAGAAGTCATAAATTCTGGGTGGCTGCCTGGAAGAACAAGAGATCTAGCTCGGTGTGGGCAGAAGGGAGGGATGAAGTCGGGGTCCGCAGATCCGTTAGAAGAGAAGTTCCTCGTTCATGAGGTCAATCACTACGGCATATGCACGGCGAGAAGATGCCGTAAATGGTTACTTTCTATTCTGATGGAGACGAAAGCCTTTTTTTTCGCAACTTCACGGTAGATTTGAAAGGACCTTTTGAATAGGAAAGTAGAATTGTGGATATCATTGTTCTCTCTCCTAAACGTCGGATTGCCCGGAACGCACAAGCATTTGCAGGGTTTTGCTGGGTTGGTTTCTTGCGCAGTATAGTCTTGTGTGGAGGTAGACGAATCTCCTGTCATACTGGGGGGGTCGAGGTATCGGGGTGGGGTGCTGACAGCCTGATAAAATGAAAACTAACACCAATTATACGCAAGAAAAATGTAAGGGAAGAGGCCTCGCTCACGTCTAGGTGGGCGTATGTCGTGTACATGCTGCACCGGACGAGCGGCTTGTGGATACTGTTTGCTGTTCACAAGAGCAAAGGCTGACTATCTTTGATCTCGCTTTCTCAGGGAATAGAGTAATTTTCGGCTGGTCACACCTCTGAGACCCATTGTAGGTGGCACTGACTTGCTGCAGGGGCCGAATGGTGATTATCGAAGCTTCAAGACTTTAGTCCATATACCGCTCGGATTTCGAGATAGGTAGTAAGTTGTCACTAAAACTAATCTAGACTCAATTAGACCCCGTTCATTACAACTAAATTGTGAACCTAACACAACTTAGTCGAACGATGATGGGAATGGTGTTCTATGGTCTTGCAGCAATCTTAAAATTTGACGCTCCATGCCTCGTGAACGGATGACCAAGCTATGCAATAGCTGAGATGCAATGCGGAAGGTTAACATTGACGCTTGCTGGTTATGCCTCTGAATGGCTTCATCTAGGTGATCCCTTTACTCCACTTCAGCTTTGGGGCGCCTCTTTGCTCGAGCTTGACCCGGACCATGTCACTTAGTCTGTGCATAGTTTGTTAGCCCACCGCCGCATGCTGACTCTATATCGTGGTTATGACCAGATCCCAATTTGATGTCACGTGGCTATGATGACCGACTTGCATTCACTGGCCGTTGGGCCTTGGCCGCCTTCATTGGTCACACCCCTGCTTCCAGCTCGCTTCTTCCCGCGAGGCCGTCCATGCACTAATATGATTGGCTATCTTTCTCGAGTCCAGGATTTTTGGCCAGCTCATTGGTCAGACTTTGTCGGCTGCTTTGAGAGGACCCTAACCGCTCAATAGGCTCCGCTTTATTAGTCATCTGCAGCTGCGGCGAAATATGTACATCCGAGTCCGGCATCAGCCCTTCAACGTCCAGACGATCATCCAGGCCAGCGACAGAAGAATAGCAAATTCGATTCCTAATGTCGCCAGATAGACAAGTTGTGCTCGTGGCCCGCATGATCTCGCATCTTGTTGTAGTTCAGGGGCATGCATCATCGACGACCAACGACCTGCAACCAAAATGAGGTATCACGTCTGGCAGGGCCGGTTAGTATCAATAAGTGCGTGGTCTCCAGCATCGCGCATTTCTGAACTTTAACAATTTTCCTTAACGGCAGCGGATCACAACCGACGCATCTATCCCCTGCTTTCACCACCGAAATTTAAGCACGAGACTCCACTAATCGGGGCAAGGAACTGCGATGTTTATCTAGTAATGCTGAAGTGGTCCACGGTCAGCCACTTTGTACACTTCTGTAACTAGGTGCTTTAATACTAGAGACAACTAACCTGCACCTAGTCACCCCCTCATTAACCGCGGCTCATTGCCCAAAATATACCTCCGAAGTGCGGATAAACTCGGAGCGGCTCGATGTCAAGTGGTATCACGCTTAGCTCTTGGGCTCGATCTTGGGAATGTTTGTCACATTCTATGTTAATTGTACCATTTTAGATCACAGATACTCCATGAGAAAAATGGGAATTCTTACGTTACAGCTGTGATCATTTTGTCGAAATAAGATGATCTCGCCCTCCCGCGCATTAGACAAATGTAAGCTGGATACTTAATCAGTGCAAGATCACAATTCGATCTTTCTCTCGCTGTATAAAATTTATGCAGAAAATATGCCTAGGATACAACTGTAGGTACAACAATTTGGATTACATGATGTGAAGTGGTAAACTCTGTTCGGGCCATAGCAGTATGCCATGCTGGAGAAAGCTGACTGCCCGACCCACGATTGAACTAATGAAGACAACATAATATTAAAGCTGCAGTTCCCCTTCTATGCCAACCAACACAATTATTCGTCGGAATGGTCTTACAATTTATGCCAGATAGGCGGGGCTACCCTAGATGTGGTCAATGTAAGTTCAAGACTATCAGGCCTAGATGTTGAACAAAGTATTGATCAGTTTTACGACGATCTTCGCTAGCACCCTACTAGTTTCACGCGCACATACGATTCCATGGACATCCTGCGATATCGGCCAAGCTAGTTTTATGAATAGACATGATTGACAGCGGGTAGGCTGTGTGGTTCGAGGTCGCGGCTGCAAGTCCGTTAAGGCTGCGGTTGTCATCTAACGCTCTTGTCGCCCATGATACTTTGCGAAAGTGCCTAATATCTCGAACTCCGCTTTCACGTGAGCAAATCGAACTGATGGTCGGAAGCCACGCGGAACACGGTTTTAACAATGTCACGATATTCCCGGTTGCCTACCCGGAACTTATTTACGTGGGTCATTCTACCGTGATATTCCCTCATTCTGTGATATTTTCAATTCCATTGTTAGCCTTGGTTGGTTAGAGCCAGTATAGTTCCTGAATTTATCAAGGTACTTCAAGACGCGATGCGAAGATAAATGGATCACGATACATGCATTATTTCGTGCTGACGATAATGAGCCGCACGACTCTTACGATCGCGCTCATCGGACGCGAAGTTCAATCACGATCTGGATAATGCACTTTAGAGATATCTGTAATGCAACAGCCCTTGTCGTTAAAATGATCGACGGAACCTGACTCGTGCACGCACAAGAATTCCAGGGCGGTAGCGGAAGTTCAACCGAGCAACGACCCTGAGTTTCTGGGTTGCCCGTAAATCTGAAGGCCTCATGTGAGAGCTTATGCAACATAGTCTCGTGACACTAATAAAAACTACCCAGGAAGACTCTTCACATCCAGGATTGTCCAATTTGACTAATGTGTCAGCCAAATTTGCCATCGCCATGAGGTCGAGACTGCAGCCTCCGTAATCAAAGAACCTGCCATAGATGTTTCCTTAGGATAATGACCTGCCGGAACTTACTAGGCGATTGCAAGACCAAGCATTCAAACAAAACGATGGATGGATTTATCACAACACAAGGCAATATTCAGGAGACACTGAAGAATGTACTGGCCTGGAAGGGGTTACAGGTGCAGGTGCTAGATAACCTGTATATCCGTAATAACGGGTGATCACGATTATTTGTACCACAGCAATTATTATTATTTGGTTCGAGCTCATATTCTAATTTGAAGCGGACGGGACGGCGCGTTGTTCAGCTCGGGGAGCCTAATCGCTGTATGGAGCTGATTGACTACTAAAATGGGCTGATCCTCGCGCGACCCTGCGCCGAAGCTTTCGTGTGCTGAATTGTGTCCAGTCACTTGGTGCATACAAATGGGGGCTCCAAGATTTTCCTATCCAAGAGGCTGGACTCATAAATTCCCTACATACAGGAAGAGAAAGGCCAGTTGAAAGAAGCAAAAGCAGTAAGGTCTACCACAGACAGTCCATGTTCCCGGTCGGAATATGGGTAGCTGCCCTTTTTTAGTAATCGACTCCAATACTATCTGCCGATCTTAAGGTCCATGACAGCTCTTCACGTCATAGGTGATGGGTAGGCAGGTGAAATGAGTTTCGGAAGCGCCAGCCCGAAATGACGCTGGAGACTGTCTAGACCGTGGCGACTTTAGGATTATTGTCAGAAAGAATAACTTGTGTTACTCTAGCTCTTTCGAATTCAACCTTTCCCGGTCGATCAGGCCCGGAAGTCATGAAAGGTAGAGAGTGAGCAAGAAATCAATGAGGGTGAAAACATAGCCAAGTCGTGTATTTACATGTCTGATACCGACGTCATGCAGGTCAACGCGATTCAACACGACCACTTGCCCCTTCCATCCGCTACCAGCTATAGCACGGGCTTCCTACATGTCTTATTCGGGGACTGACAAGCTAACGGATGGATAATTAGCTTTTAATCGATACTATTAATAGTTACTTTGTGAGGACTCTCATAGCCTATGAGGAGGAGGTAGTATTCTCGCACTGGTACACAGTTGTAGCCTGTGAGCTAGCCTTTGGCTCAGGGATAAGTTGAATTTGATGAACTAGATGCCTTACAATGGCCACCATGAAGGGGTCGCGTTGGATAAGAAGAGTGTCACGCCTCTAAGGTCTATTCAAGCTACCGGACCCTAGAAAAGTGAATCTCAAGGCAGGTTTCATATCTACGAGCTGAATGTTGACATTTGCATGAGAGGCGAGGGGTTGAATCAGACATGTGAGGGTAAGCAGATGCTTGTCACAATGTCCTCTAGGCAGAAACCTACATTGAGTCAGTTGCGCTAATCGAAATAGCGATATATCTTTTGGCGAGCTCATCTTCTGCATTGTGTTCATATCCTTGGCCTGGCTAGCTATTGAAAGGCCAGTCTTATTACTGGCGCCTCATTTTGATACCTTCTCCCACTTTCTGATTGTCAAGGCGACTTTCCCCATGTTCGCAGTGGTCGATCCTAGTGATAACAGAACTCTGACTAGCTTGATGACGCGTGAATGGAAATGGATCAGTTTTTCTATAATGGGAGAAGGTGAGCGCAGAGAAAATTTGAGCTGCCCACATCCGCCAAGCAGCTAGTGTGATGATCACTGCTGGGTGCGCCGTAGCTATTGCCGATTGGAGAAGCGAAATGAACGACTGAGAGCAGGGCTCACTTTCCATGGGTTAAGGGGGAAGAAGCCAAGATGCAGGTCGATCCGGGATGATTGGAAACACATCCGAAGAAGAAATAGGCGTAGGGGCCGCTACGGTTGTCGAGACGAGTGGTGGAGAGGGCTACCCGAGGGCCAAGAGAAGATGCCGCCATGGCGCAATGGATGGGGAGCATCTGTTGTCTATGGCCGAGGGCCGGCTGAGTCGACTTGCGCAAGGTGTCGGCCGGCGATGCAACAAGCTCCCTGAAGTTT